AAATGGCTGCCAGGCTCCCTTCTGGTGTGGGCTTTTAGCTGTTTCCTGCTCTTTTTCCTGCTGTTTGGGGGCTACCAAGGCCTGGTAAGTGACTTTCTTTTATTTATTTTAAAGTTTCTGGCCCTTTTTTCCCCTCCAGAAGCCTCTAAGGGGAGGGAGGGGACACTTTTTTCCTGTACATAACTCGAGGGAAGTTCGTATGTCGAGTCCTTATTTCCCCTATAGGGCGGGTTTGTAAGTTGAATTGTTCGCAAGTAGGGTCGTTCGTAAGTCGAGACCCCACTGTATCTGGGACCTCAGCATAACCATTCTGTCTTCCCTCCTCACATGAAAATCCCAGCACGCTCTCTCAAACACGATCAAGAATGCTTCTGGGCAATCACCCTTTCTAAACTGAGGGAATTTCTTTAGGTCCACTTTTGATAAATTCCCCTCAGGATTTGAATTATTATTGTTACTGTTCTGGGCTGTTAATTCTAATTATTTCATTTGTAATTGATACTCCATCTCTTTTGCTCTCATTTCCAGATGTCTGGCTTCTGCTTACGCCCTAGCTTTAATTTCTAATTCCTTCAAGTGAAATTCCTTTTCCAATTTCCACTTTTTCAACTCTAGGGAGGTTAACCCAGTTTCTCCTCTTGATGCATCCTCCTCCTGAGCTTCATTTTGCTCAGCTATTCCAAGAGGGCTTGGGCATCTTGCTCAGCTATTTCAAGAGGACTTGGGCATTCCACCACAGTTGTCTGAAAGAGACAGCATGTACAGCTATGGAAGCTGGACCACAAACAGTGGTGGGTCGTGGACTAGAATGGTATACAGCTGCATAATCTGGATCCAGGACCGCTGCAGATAGTGGACCAAGTAGTGGCAGAAAGGGGACACAAAGCAGTGCTAGTTCATGATCCACAAACCGTTGAATGGAATTTAGCTGTTGAAGGTCTATGTAGAGAGAAAGTGTTGGCTCTCCGGTAAGACCTCATTAAGAAACTAACTCCCCTGATATTGCTGTGCCCTGAGCTTTCCTGGAATCGCTGCTGTATCCCATTTGCCTGGGTGACCTCACCTCCTCAATGTCAAGGCAGCTGCTGCTCAGTGGTTGGAGCAGAACAGTTGAGACATCAGTATCCCACTTCCCCCTTGTCTTTCTTTGCTCACTTCTTGGGGCTAGATGTATCACTGATGCATATTACTCTTCCCCCTCTTTTCTCCACTGTTCTTAATACCCTTTTATGGGTCTACCTGTCCATGCTTCACTGACCCTCCACCCTGACACTGTTGTGTTACCAGGCAATTGGCCATGCACCTGGCGATGACATCAGTGTTCTGTGCCATCACAATCAACAGTCTAGAGATGTTTCCAGCTGCACAAGGACAGTGTATAAATTTCAACATTATACACCCATGAAAGTTGACCTGATCCAGAATATGGCATTTATACAGTACTGTGAAGCCTATCTTCTCAAGAAACAGGGCAAAAGAGAAAGAAAATTCAGTTTACCTGAGTGTGATACTTTTTAACATCTATTCGAACCTGGGTGAGCTCACGAATCGCCAGAGACCCAGCAACTGCAAGCACCTAAAATACAGAAAACCAAAGGGGGAAGAAACAATCACAATGGAAGTAAGATTAGAATCCAAACCTTCATTCATTCTCCTAAGAAGCTGCCAGTGCAGCATAATGACATTCTGCAGAGGTAGTATAAGGATTCCCTGGATAATGCAGATGAAATACTTAAGTGTCCAAGCTTTCTGAGCTAGCAGCCTCATTTGGAATCTTGACAAAATGTTGTGAGCATTTTCACAACAAGGCTCCTGTTATAGCTACAGCCCCTTACAGGATGGATATCCATCTTACAGAAGGGCATGCTTCTAGGCTAAATAACAAGTCACTTGGCCAAGAACCTGAGTTATTTGCAGAACTGAGCTCGAAGCCCCAAACATAAACCTATCTCTTTGGAAATGAGCAGTTTCTGTTAAAATTATAATTTCACAGAAAGGCAAATCAGGGCAACTAAAAGACAACTAATTTGAACACATCCTACCCACATGGAAAACAAAAACACAAGCACCCATCCAATGCAGAAAATGTGTGCACGCACACACACATCAACCCATTTGCTCCATCCAAGTACCTCTACCTCACTAAATTACCACGCTGTCCTTTCCATCTTTCCTGATGGCGCCACTGGCTTCTATCCTTCTCTCTTTTGTTTACCAGTATAGTGTTCTTCCTCCACAAATTACCAGTAGATGCCCAATCAAAATGAAGGACTCCAGTGTGAAGAAGGACAGAAGGACAACCCTTTGCCTTTGTCCTCATTGCAGTATTAATCTAGACTGAGGCACCGGGGCCCCAATCTGCAATGGAAGAGAATGCTCAACTGAGTTGAAGAAGACATTTATTGCACCAGAAATTTCAGGTATGAGTGCTCTCTTCTGGATGCAGATCAGATGGTGGCATGCTAGAGACCTGATAGCAATTGCACGCCCTCCTGGGTTGTCAATCTGCAAAAACACTACACACAGCTACTGGACTTTTCCCACACGTCTCAAACAGTCTCAACACTCTGTTGCTCATCCCTGTTTCCCACAGCCCCAAACATTCCCCACCCCCCAAATTCCTGGGCTACTAGACATGCTGCAAAGTAAAATGTTGCTTTGTAGCCTTGCTTCATTTTAATTTTCTAAGTTTGTCTCTTGGAAAGACATTCTTACTAGGAATGTACAGGAACCATCCCCAATCTAAACCATGCCGAAAGAAACCGCACACAGATCAGGCTGACTGCGCCATACCCTTTAGGAGACATTTGGACCCACTCCTAATCTCAATCCATTACACCATTTGTATGTTTCCATATCTCCATTTGTAAAAATCTCACAAATGAGTAGACATAAAGAGGAATGACATGGAGTTGGGTGGGCCTACACAGCGAAATTAATTTCAGGAACATGGTAGATTCTAAATATTGAGCAGAGTGTGCTCCACTAGAAAATGCACCTTCTCAGGTTTGAGGTCCAGTTTCTTCCCAAATTACATCTATGCTTGGATCAGGTTGGGAAGAATGAGCTATGCCTTTTCTGCCAGGATTCCTCCAGTCCCTGGCTGCTGCATAGATAAAGCCCTTGATTCCAAAATCACTCAATTCCCCTTATCCCTGGATGTTCTCTCCCCCGGCTCCCATAATTCCACGGATCTCATGCAAATAAAGTTGGAGGAAAGCCTGATAGATAAGGAAACTGCTTTGTAGCGGATGGATGGCTTCCTAAGCACTCTAAGGCACAAATATCAGTAAGCAAAGATATGTGCATCCTTCTAAGAACATGTAGAAAACAAGAAAAAAAATGCCCATATAACAAGCATCCTGTTACAGTAACACATACATTCAAGCCTAACAGTGTGAGAAATTACATTGAGGAACAAAGGGGAGAAAAATAATATTTCAGAAAGCAAAAGCTAATCTACACAACAGTGGAATTCCCTCACTCTGTGCTGCAGCTCCACAACATGGCGGACTGAATATCTGCAAGGGAATATCTACACCCCATGATGGCCTCTGTTTAAACCCTCCCTGATGCCTCAGTGGTTATCACTTTCCTCCTGTGGCACCTCAGTCTACTAATACTATGGCTGAACTCCTGCTGCTTTGTTAATCATGCAAATTGCACAATACTGTATTCAGTCACATTTAGCTGGCAATTAATGACTCCCCACTAGGTTTTTTTCAGCATGTACTACCCAGCCAGTTGACACATGCACTCCAGGGGAATGCTGGCAGAGACTTTTCAACTGCCAACCAGAAGTGGCTGAACTTTATGCCATTTGCAGTACATATGCATAGCAAAGCAACAGGATTTCAGCCTATGTATACTTTTGATCTCCTTTTCCCTCAGTTCAAACAGCTAAGTGTCTTTTAAAACTTTAGAACTGTGCAAGAGTCAGATGGAGAAGGAAGTATCCATAGGTTCAGTGCTCCACCCCACAGATGACCAGAGGCTCTTTGCTGTACTCCGTAGTAGCCACAACTGCATGAATATCTGATTTAATTCATTTCTGCACATTCGTCTGAAGACAGGGTGTGACGGCATTCCTCACGACTCACAAAGGGAGGTCATCACGTCACTTTAAAACCCTTCACTCTTCTTTACTGCCACCAACCATTCCTTAATAAATAGATCATACAGCAGGCCAGTATAACTTTTAAAAATAAAAACTTGGTTTATTGAATACAAAAAGAAAGGAATGGTAAATCACTGTTAAAGAAATAATCAATTACTGTTTCTCAAGCACTAGCTCTCACAGACTCTTTCACACTGACACTAAGATTACTTTAACTTGCAGCTCAGACACTCCTCTCTCATCTGTCTGCTATCTCCTATCTTCGATCTATCTAACTCACTCACACCTCACACACATCTTATATATCACAGCTCCTCCCGCCTCTGCACCACCCTCCGCCCTCTCATTGGCTGAGATTTTCCCTCCCAGCTGTGAAGGACAGGTAATGCTATGGCTGACCGTAACACAGGGCACATCCATAATTTTGACCAGTGAAGACAGTACTGGAGACTGGAGCTCCCAGTTAAAGCTATGATTAAGAAAAATATCAGGAGGGGCAAGAACTTCTGGCAAGTACCAAAACAGGCTTCCATGAAAACCACTGTGCCTTCTCTAAGGTCACTGCATTACGGACTCAGCTTCCAATAATCAAAGAAAACTACAGAACTAATAAATATGTTATAAATGGGTCACTTACTCCGAACATATACTCCATCATTGGGTATAGTCAGAGCTTAATTGGTTAACTGGTGCAAGTACGTGCAAACATATGAGAGCTCTAGAACCTATTCCACCAAAGTGATTTGCTCTGTCTTCTTGGAATCTAATGTGACTTGCCTGTATGTGCCAGAAATGGATGGAACTGCTACAGCCTTCATTCACAACCATATCAAAATTTCTCGATTTTGTACACAAAACCTTAGGAAGATCCAGATTTGCTTAGTCTTCTAGAGTCTGCATAATTCTGTATCCCTCATTCATTTAGCAATCTTGCCATCATGGCTTTGGGACTCATTCCTATCATTCTCAAACTTTTAACAAGTGAAATAACAAAACTTAACAAGCTCATGCTAGAGCCAAAAGTGAAGAAGACCCAACTAAGCTTCCAGAACAAGCCAAAAGAGTGAAACCAGAATACTCCTGTACATTATAAAGTGGCTAGAGAAATCAATTGCCACTGAAGCTTCATTAGTTCTGTTGCCACTAGTTCTAAAACACCAAGAAAAATAAGCAATAAAAACCAAGATAAATTGGCATATCTGTACGAAGAGAAGTGAGCTGATTTCTCAATGTCATGCAAAGCAAATACTTTTACAGAAAGTAACTGATTACATCAGCTCTACTGAGACAAAGCTAATGATCAAGCATACTATTCAAAAATTTCACATGTGCTAATTTTCTTAATACCATTTTATAAAATTCCCTCTGATTCTCATTAGGTACATAAATATTAACTAATGTATAATCCATTCCTTTCAATTCAGATAAATTTTAAACAAAGAATTGTTGAGGCACCTGGGGAACATGATTAATGTCCAGTCGTCGTTACAGTTTGGCCACTAATGATAATCTTTATGCACCTAATGAGAATCAGAGGGAATTTTATAAAAATATATTAAGAAAATAAGGAAGGGAAATGTTGAAATGGCAGGATAATTTAATACGGTGATGGACAATGAAATGGATAAATCTACAAAACATATACGGTAAGTAATATTGTAATATTAAATGATATGAGCAAAATAGACCTAATAGATGTATTGTGTAAAAAAAATTATTCAAGAATAGATTACATATTCATTACAAAGCACTTATTTTCTAAAGGGTTTCTTGGTACAAAAGTGGTTTACCATTCCCTTTTTCTGGGGTCACCCTGGGACTGTGCAGCTTGTCCAAGGCCACACAGGCTGGTTCTTCAGGGATGCAAAGTGGGGGAATTAAGCCAGATACCTAACTTCCTGAACTTCCAATGAAAGAGAGGTGGTGGGGGGGGAATTGTTCTGTTGAACTAATATTTGAATGGAAACACTGTTATCCTATCTCTCCAAATGTTGTGTTCTAGTCAGAGAATTTGGACATAAATCTGTACAGTACCTTTAAAAAAAGTATGTGTCTTTTTTACTGCGTGAAATCAGTTAGATATTTTAATATGTTTTATTTAACTTTAATATCTCTTATGTTTCTAGTTTTATCTATTTTTAAAATTATTTTGTGAACTACCCTAAGTCCCAGATTTGGGAGAAACATGAGATATAAATGAAATAAATAAACATTGTAACTCATACAGAAAATAACATACAAAATTATGTAAATTGCATAAATTAGCTTGCAAAATTGCATATTAGGCAATATTGTGCTCAAAAACACATATATGGGGGGGGAAATGCTATAAATTCCATGCAAACATTTTTTTTAAAAAAAGTGGTGTTGAAACAGGATGAACACGATTTAAATATAGAGAAAGAGAGAGAGAAGTTAAAACTGACAGATTGGTCTGTATTTTTGTTTTAGTAAATGCC